GATTTCGCGACAGAATTGCTCGATTTACTAGAAGATGGGGGTGGTGGGCGGGGGGAGAGACAGAGGCAGAAACCCAATTACAAGCTTTGTAAACTCAGACTAAGATTCAATTGTCAAAGCTTTTTTACTTCTCCCCCATATTACACCATCCTCAATTCAAAACACGCAAGTCAGGTTTAGGCATTAGAGTAGACAGGCTGTGCAGCTGACTTAAGCAAGCTAGTAATTACAACTTAAAATTCATGAAAAATTTCTTAAAAACCCAGAATCTAATAGATTCAATCAAAACTGTGGATATGAAAGATAAATAGTATTATCCTTACATAAAAACTGTTACTCAAAGCCAAAATGTCTGTATGAATTAGGGAGCAGACTTCTGTGTCAACAGTTAGCATACTTAAAGGAGTTCTTTTGTCTGTGCTTTTCAGTTTGTTGCCAAATGCCATCCAAGAAGTTAATTTTATTCTAAGCAATGTATTTTGCTACATAGGTTACTTGATTCTGGCAATTCAAGTGCGCAATCCATTAAGTTATGTTGTTCAGTGCTGTGAAAAAAGAAAGAGGCATGTTATGTGCCAGAAAACAAATCCTCAAGGAAACAAAAAATGTTGCCATTCACATGACGAAAAGGAACAAGAATGCTTTTGTTCAGCTAGAGTCCCTTGCAATAGTGGTTTTTCCACACTTCACTGACCAAATGTATTAAATAACTTTCTCAAATACATATAGAAACATGTGAATTCAGAATGAGGTCCAGAAAGTAAGCAGCCTGAACTTTTCTTTCAAGTCATTATTAAATTGTTCATTGAGTTGCCTTAAAAATGGATGCTAAGTTAAACTGATGCTTAAGTTAAACTTACCATTCTTTGGAGCTGGCTAGTTTGCAGCCTTCCTCGTTCACCCAGATTAGTCTTCCATACAATGTCTAGTTTACCAATGACTGTGACACCTTTTATTACTCCAGCTTTCTCTGCAAATTCTTGCTTTGGTTTTAGGCAGTACAAGTACTGACGTGTATCCATAGGTTGTAAATAAGTCCTTGAGCCAAAAGTAGACTCACTAAAAGAAAAAAACATTGGGTCTTAATTTAAAGAGTTATTTTCAGGAAGACTTAAGAACCTAACCTTTTTTCCCCCATCCCTCACCAGTCTTACTGTGTGTGTGTTTTATTCATGGCAAAACACAATTTTTTTTTGTTTTTTTCACAACAGAAAACCATTCCAGAATTTATGTAGCATCAAGCACCAAGGCAAAAAAAGTTATTCATCTAAGCCAGAGACATCTGAGGTAGAAATCTGCTTTGCAACATTATAATTTATTACCTAGCATCTTAGCATTAAAATGATGCTGGTAATTTTAATTCTGCTATTTGGTTCCCTCCCAGTAAACCTCAGTGTCATGAGCCTAAGATTCCTGTTCAGGACAAGAACCATTACAGCGGATGCAAACACTTTGTAAGAACAATGTTCCACTACGCTGCAGGCGAACCCTTTGACAGGCAAGGAGAAGACAGAATTTTCACTTCAGCCGCCACTGCAGAAGCACCCAAACATCACCTCCTCCAAAAACCCAAGCAACTGCAAAGCACAAACAGCCAAAGTTAACTTCTACCCAGGTATCACAAGCTTTTGTATCCACAACAGTTTACTGAGCACAGTAGAAAATTCTTCTGGCATTTGGTGTTTTACTAATTGACACTAAAAGACATTTAATTTATTTCAGCACGACAAATTTTTATATTCTAAGATCCTGTAAGAGTGTTGCACTGATTCACCTTGACCGCTGCCTTGCTAGATCTTGATTAGAACAATTGAAAACAGTTACCAGTCTACCAGAAGGAAGCAAGGACAAGCCAGACAGGTCCTGTAAGGCTAAATATGTTTACACAGATCAAGTCAGAACCAGATGTGGGCTGAATTTTATGTAGGAGATACTGAAGAAGTAGTCTGTTCTCATGTTACCATGTCATCCATGTTACCAATTATTTGAGGATTAAGCTGGGGATTCCTCTACTAGGTAGAATTACAAAGTTTTAAGAATAGTTTCTCAAAAAAGAAAACTGTAGCAGCTTTTCCAGCTGAACACGTAACAGGAATTGGATATTTTTAATCAAGCAAAGAAGTATAATCCTTCCATTACAGACAAATCACTAACTGTAAAGCTTATGTCGCATGAAATCATAATACAAAGAGTTTCAAAGTCAAATATCCTGAATCTGAACATACCTTTCCCCTGCTGCGTCAGCTGTGTTCAGTTCTGCAACATTGTACATCATAGATGGCTCTAAAGAAACCTTCTCCATAAACATTGGAGAGGTAGTGATATTCTGAATCTGAGCTTCCAGAAACACTTCATCTGTCTGGAAAAAAAACAAAAGTGCAAGTTCGTGAAAACGTGATGTTATTGAAGAGTAGCCAGTCCTACTGTTAAAAAAAAAAAAGTCACATGTGTTTAGTTCATGCCTGCAAATCAAATTAATTAATGCAAGAAAAAACCTTAATCCCAGTAACAATAGGAGCAAAAGTGTTAGTCAACAGGTATCTTGCCAAACAATGGATGTGGGATAATTTCGCTAAGTTCTAGCTATTGCTTATTTATAATGCATCAGATCACCACTTCCCAAGACTTTCGTCAACTCAATAGCAACTCAAGTTTTAATTCATATTATTAAAAAAGAAAAAATAGAATAAATGGTAAAGAATTGCAGTGCACAACGACATGCCATGCCAGATTACTAGTGCATCAAGCTGTAGAAAAAAATTGTGTGTGTTTTGCTTTCACTGAAGTAAAATAGTTCAGGTACATGCTCTGAGATTTTATTATTATTCTGAAACTTCGATGCACTGCCTGAAAAGCAAAAACCTGCCTCCTCTCTCACTCAGCTGCATCATGCCAATGGTTACAAATATTATATGCATCCAACAATTTAACTGGTGCTCTACCTTCAAAACATCCTCTAAGACATATCTGTTAAACAAAGCTAATGCCTGAAGATGGTATATAAGGACCAATTCTAGTACAGGAATGAAAGCTACAGACTGTTAGACTTCACAAGCTGAAAAAACGTGGAACAAGGTGTTTTTGCCTCACTGCTTCTGTGGAATTGTGGAACAGTGAAGTCACTTTGCAGCTCTAAAATCTCAGGACAGAATAATCACGGAAGACTCGGTCTACTAGAGATATGAGCCCCTGGAGAAGTGAAAAACAAAACCAAAGAAGTGTGAATTAAAAAAAAAAAAAGGCAGGGGGTACCAAAGCTGCGTTTACAAGGGAGTTATTTATTCAGGCAGTTGGACTAGATGATCATTGTAGGTCCCTTCCAACTGAAATATTCTATTCTATAAATTCAGTATGAAGCAGTTTAGGTATTTTGTTATGATAAATAAAAAAAAGTGGTTTTATGGGGGACGTGGAAGGAAGCTTGCAGTTTCTTTTTAATCAGTGCAAATAAATTACTCCATTATACAAATGGAGTCCTGCTTGTAAATTACAAAATTAAAGTGGGACAAAATAGTAAAAATATTTTTAGTCTCAAAAGGCATTGTGTTAGAAGGAGAAATACAGAATGGTACTGGAACTGTTCATTGTGCCTTATAAACATGTTAAACACAAACCAGATGATCGCATATATAGAGTAATGAAAACTGTGCAAGCTCCACAGGTTACAGACAGACCTCACACTTGCAGAAGGAGCTGGAAATAACCCCAACTAAAACATGGCTCCCAGTAATCATTACTACTACCACCTGACTGTCACTTAAATTGGTACTGTTTATATCCCATAAATCCATTGCTCAAAGTGTCCATTTACCCAAATTTTAGTTGTTTTCAATGCAGCAACCATAGGCAGAAATTTAGAAAAAGCTAATTTGAAAAGGAAAAGAAAAAACAAGCAGCATAATGAAAAAGCAAGTTAGTTTTGTGTTATTCCTAAGTTGGTTTAATATCACATGGTTTAAAAAAAAAATAATCCTTAAGTACTTCAGAAGAATGCAGTTTATTTTAATACAAGGCACACCTTAAAGTGAAATCAGACTGAAGAATTATCATACTAACTCATCAACTGTTACATGCAGTTAAAAGTTGGAAAGCGCAGTTCCAGCTAGCGAAAGGAAGGAAGAACATCCAACTGCTGCTCTCTCCTCAAACCCACTGTCTCCACCAACCAGACGTGAAAAGTTGTGTCACAGATTACACAAGCAGTGCTGTAGTAAACCCTCCATTCCTATGGGTCAAAAGCAGGAAGATTTTAGAAGGGATTAACTCCCATTTTCAAATAATGAATCTAGTCAAGTTTTGGTGAGGTATTTTATAGGAGGACCCCCACAAGCAAGAGTCTGTAATAATCACCTTTTAGTTTCAACAATGGGTATTAAAGAAAGAGCTAACCATTTAAATGATTAGCTGCACATATAAAGATGAGAAAACGTCAGTTCATGATATGCAGAACAAACATTGCTTTTCCATTATGTTTTTAAAAGAATGTCAACAAGCACAGAGACAGATCAGCAATTAAAAAAGCATACATATTTATAAAAAAATAAATAAAAATTACCACAGAACTGAGGTCACTCTAATGGGAAAATAAAAAAAGAATACATTAGAGAAATTAGGGTTAAATGTTAAAGAAAAAGGAGGCTAACTTTCAAACAAAATGCATTTCTGCATTTTTTTGCACCATCTAAACAAGATAGCATTAGTAAGACAGAAACGTAAATTAAAATGGATGCAAACAAAGATGACAACTACATTTCTAATAAGTTATAGCTAGTATGGTTACATGGTTTACTAGCTTTGCTTCAGAACCAGTCCAAAGTAGAGCCTAAGGCACACAAGTCACAGATAAGGTATGGTAGGACAAACTGACCCAGAAAAAAGTTAGTTTTTGAGCACACTAAAAGTTTGCCTTGAATTTAAATCCATGCAATGGGTTGTGTATGAAATGGAAAAACAGTCCTGTCATTTTACAGATAATTTGAAGTATCCACATATATAAGGTCTCAAAATAAAAATAATGTGGTTATGTGTTCTAGCAAAGCTACAATACTGCAGCTCATAACAAAATTTGGCACAACATAATCAGGAAAAACTCTTTTTTGAATATCCGTCATTCCAAAAACCCAACTTTAATTGCAAATTTTGTTTTCTTAAGTGTCTGCATATTTGCCTCCCTATGCATGTTTGCAGGAACAAAACCTTTTCCAGAGCCTTTTCCACGCCAAAGTCAGCGAGAGACTTTCTACAGTCTGGGGCAGGTAATTCAGTTTCAGGATTGCAGCAGGTTAGGGCGACAGGGCATGCGTTCTGTGCATGAATTTCAGTGATCAACTTGATTTGGATGCTATTGCAATACGAGCAACAAGCAAGAAAATTAAGGTTCAGCGTCATTCCTTGTCTTAGAAAAAATGAAATTATGGATTGAAATTTCTAGTAGCAAATAATTTTAGTGACAGACTTTATTAATAGATAGCACCACATCTGTAATATTACTGGTAACAGTTTAACTGTCTAGTGAACCTTTAAAGACCTTTAGTTAACTAATAACTGACACATACAGCATTTTTTTTTCTCCCCTGCTCCCAAGGATAACAGTCTTTCTTAACATTCAGGATGAAAGTCTTTGTGCTTTGACAGCAATGTAGTATCACATACAACATCTAAACAAAGGGTTATTTCTAGGTTTTTTAATTTTATTTGACTTCTGTCATCATAATATATAGCAGCACTTTATATACTTTCAGAAATGAAATATGGATGGTACTGTATCAGTTTGCTAGGCAAATGAAAATTGCTCAGTTAATACAATCCAAAAATCTTTAAAAAAATTTTTTTCAGTCAATCATATGGATACTACAGTAATGGGAGTTGCATAAATTCCTGAAGAGGAAGAACAAAAGGCATCAAAGCAGCCTTTTAAAACCTTTACGGGGAGGACACGACAAAACCAGAAAACCACAAATACCAAAGTTTCTCATAGATCTTTATCATGAGGAATTGGTGGCTAATTGAGGAATGGAGTTTATTAAGTCCCTTATCAAGGCCAGTCAGTAAAACATTTTTGTAAGAAAAGAATACTTTTGACCTATGTCAAAAGTTTGCCCAGAATCTACCTTAAAGAGGTTTTTATTTCCATTTGTTATGAAATGTTTCAGCAGAAAACAAAATTTACATGTGAAGTATAGAGAGACAGCAACATTTGATTTATCTGTCCCTCTTTCCCCTATCACATATTTTCTATCTGAAAAAATAACATAATCCACACACAAAATGGAAGTTTATTTTGTTCCCAGAGAAATTACCTAGTTTCTTAGGATTATTTTTGTTCTTAAATCACAGCAGGAGACATTTCCAGACATTCCCATTTACTGATAACACCTGTTCCATAAAGCAGTCGACCATGGTATGTGCTTACGTTCCGACCCTACTCAGGTATCTCACACCTGGTCAACCTAAGGATTGAAGCCTGTGGCCTAGATACATGTACCAAGATATTTTTAGGAAAATGCTTTTCTCTTTTCCTCTGTACTATGATTGTGACTTATGCCTTGATTTATCCTCCCTCTAAATAAGTCACATGCTATATATTAAATGTCTTATAGTTTACGTGCTACTCATTCACAGCAGAGAGAAAATCTTTATGCAAAGTTTCCTGCACAACTCTGAACAAGACAGATCTTTGCATCTGGAATCCTCATTTGTAAAGCAGAAATTCTTATCAGTTATTTCTCCCTTCTGTTTTCTCAACTAATACTGTCAGGACAGGAAAGAAATATACCTTTCACACCTCTATAGCCATAATCTTGCATGATGAACCCCAGGTGTGACTATGATGGAGATAAATAATTAGAACAATAGATTTGGAGACTCTCTGCTTTTCTACATGCAAATTCATAGCACATATACCTGCTTAGTTAAGAACAAACAGGAGAGCAAAATACTTTCTACTTAGCTTAACACAAGTTATTTTTCCAAATCACCAAAATTCCATATATTTTCTTCTCCTCTTACTGACACTTTGGTCTTTTTTCTCCCATCTACTATTCACTGCAACATAAAACACCTACAACTTCACCCTATCTTTTAACCTATTTCAAACAAACTGTTTAAGAATACTAATGAAGGTTTTCAACCAAATGGCTAGCAGTGTAATAGTTGACCATATTTCAGATGTTACAGAAAAAGTTCAATACTCATAACAGAAGCTCCCAAAGCACTTTCCAAGTATCAGTCTGAACTTCGTACAAACAATACAGAATACGATGCTCACAAAATTAAGCTACTTGCTCACTATCACAAAGCAGGTAAGTGATACTGATGGAAACAAATGTCCTAACTTCCTATGTAATGAGATATTGTGGAAGTTTATACCCTACAACAGACCTATATAATACATATATCCACAGGGAATGTCTACAAATAAAAAGAATGCTGTATGTAATTTGTAAGAGTTTCCAGTGTGTCACCTTCAGTTAAATTTCTTCCCATAAAAAGCCAAAGACAGATGCCTAAGTATGTCCAAATAAATATACAAGTCATATATAAGGTCATTTAGTTTTGGAGCACTGTGTATAACTGCCACAAACCTAAGAATTAAATTATTGAACAAAGGGGTCCTATTTACATTTAAATTTAAAATTTCCCCAATGTAAATAGGACCCCTTTGTTCAATAATTTAATTTTAAATTTCCCCAATCTGGTAAATTATTATCTGCTTTGTGAACAATTAATCTCCCTTACAGTATGTACTCTATCAGCCTAAATATACAGGCAATAACTGGAAGTATTTGAGTTCACAGGAAAGCAGAAAATATGCAAAATTGTCAGTCAATTGCATTAAAGTCCTGACATATCTGCCTTAGTTACCATCTCTTTCCCCCGCTTCATCAAAAGTGTACCTGTTTTTAAACTAAATAATATAAACCCACCACCTAATTTTTTCCTTTTAGAACTGATCATCTTTCTCAGAAATGTGTACTTAAGAAGCTCTTTGAATTTAATCTAACCACCTAACGTGAAGTAATAAACCCAGCACACTAAAACAAAATCAAATACACGCAGCTCTCACTTACCTCAGCATTGTAGAATTTGGTTTTCACATCTAGTGGTTTAAGGACCTGAATGAAATGGAAAAAAGACAGATTGACAACTGGTTTCTCAGATAACTTCAGCATAAACTCTTTGTAAGTGCTAGGATCTTCACTAAAGTGTTATTTTTCTTTTAGATCTTACACAGAACAGGTCCACAATGGAATACACGATACAACAAACTGAGCTAAAACCTCACAATTCAGAGTATATACTTGCTGCTTCTTATTTACACACTTGACTGCTTTGCTACTAAGCAGTTTTCTCAGACTGAAAACAATTACTTCTCCACCTAAGCACTGGCCTCTTATGGAACCAGACAAATCCCGTGCACTGAGTAGATCTATGCCTCTAAAAATAACATTACATCCATCTTGTATCCTGAAGTGGTCTGCACTTGCTTTCAAGAGTGAGCGAGATCCATGTAATAGTTACAAGTCCTTCAGTGTTCTGCAGCAACCAAAAGTTGCTGAGGGCTTCTCTAAAAATAAATAAAATAGAGAACTATTCATGTGATTAGCTTAAGCAACAAACCATTACTAGGCTTCACTTCCTTCTTGAAAATGCAACTGTTACAAGAAATAAAAAAGCCAATAAATCATTTTAATCCCATGAGATTTATATAATCAAATTGTTTTCTCTTGCTGATTTAAAGGTGATAAAGTGTTGATTCTTAAGTGCTTGAATTTTGTGCATAAAGCCAGTACAATTAACACATTCAGATATGAAATGGATATACACTGATGTAACTGAAAGAAATAATCTTCTATTATACTTGTAAGGAAACAAATTCAAATTATATTGCTGAAGACATTTATTCCCCTTTACACAGGGAAACACTTGTTTTGTTTACATGTAAGTGTACTGCACCCTGAGACCCCTGAAGTTCCAAGTTGTGAACAAATTTTTTAGCCCTCAAGAATGCAATATTTAAAAGTAGCCTTCACAGAGATTTTTGCATTATAACAGGCATAATGTTCAAATCTTTCAAGTAATTATAACTCTCTCTAGTCAGAAAAAAAAGTCAAAATTTTAATTTAGGTGTTTGTTGGTTGAGGGTTTTTTCCTGCCAAATATTTTGCTTCAGAGAGCTTCTTACTGATTTCCCTAAGTGCTGATGTTTTCTCTCTCTGATAAATGAAGTCTTTCCATTCATTCCAGTAGATTTCAAGTGGCATTCCAGTAAAAAAAAAAATCAATTATTGTGAGGTTCACCCACACCCTCCCCTGCAATCAAACAACCACTAAATTGTAGAAAGAATCATTCCTTTTCCATATAAACATAATGGTGTTAATTACTCAGAGAAAGCTTTGGAACAAAAAGGCTCTATTGATCAGTATTAAACTACACATAATGGTTGAAAAAGAAGCTGTTTAAAACCAACTGTAACACCAGTTCAACTTAAAAGATCCTAGAAAACATAACTGAAAAAGTTGAGAATCTGTCAAAAAGAAAATGGTTTTTTTTGTTATAAAATAGCTGGTGGCACCTTGATCACTAGCACCCATCAATTCCCACTGTAAAGACATTGTTCAGTTTTCTGTAATATTTCTTTTTGTTTGTTCTCAGATTTTCTAGCTGGTGTCTCCATGTCAAATTTAAAAAATAACAACCAAAATTGCTCAGTGAAGTGTTTTTCTCATAATGAATCAGAGAGTATTTATAGAATGTGTGTTAAAGTATATATATACTTTTTGAGAAGCTCTTCCGCTTCCTTCTTTGAAGGAAGAGCTTCAAATTTGACAGATAGCTGGCCTTAGCTATTTTGACATTAAAATTGCCTGTGTTGTGTTCAGTTAAAAAACATAGAAATTACAAGACGCATATAGACGCACACTGAAAAATGTGCACAAATATGTTTCCATATGAAATCTAAAGGAGACAAATTGACATCCTGAACAAGGCTCTGGAAAGAACAAAGGTAGGGAAGGGAGAGAAGATGAGAACTGGAAGCCTGCAGATACATACATTAGTGACCAGAGGGGACAGAATACTGAACTCCTGGGGGACAAAGAATAGAGAAATTGAAAGGGAAATGGTTTCATAAGGAGAGCAAGACAAAACACAAAGATGAAAATCAGCTTCAATGGAGATAAAGAAACACTGCAGAGTTTCTGGGTTCAGAGGAGAGTGTAACATGAAAATTGATATGGAATGATTTTCCCTAGGATTGTCTGGAAACACCTTTGACTAATCAATACCTGCCATTTCAAGGCCCACAAGTACTAACAGCGCCTGGGTGTTCTTTGTCTGTAGCACATGGCAATTTAGCCTCTTAAAGACTGAAATGCTTTTTTCTGAAGTATCTAGATAGAATACTAGAAAAGAGCAAAATGAAATCACCTGCAGCCTGCAAAAGATACAAGTCTCGATTATATAATGCTCCTGTATTGCCATTCTGTGAGAGTATCCGAAAGTGTATGCAGTAAAACATGTCACCTAATCCTCCATTCTATGGGAAAGAGCCCACAATTATCCAAGTCCCCGCATGTTTCTCTAAAAAATAAACATCCATTAAATACACAGCTAAAATAGACTTTCCTGCCAGAATCAGTCCACAGATAACAGTAATTTCCTGCTTTCTTCTGTTACTCTAATCTCAAGTCTTGAAATTTCTGCAGTGGAACAAAAGGTTTCAACTCCATCAATTACTTCTGTGGATATTAGTCAGACATAACACATCAGACCACATAGTTTCCTTTAAAAAACAAACCACTAAGTTCCAATTTAAAAAAGGTTACACACATTAAAAGAAAAACCAGAATTTTACAGTCTAAACTCAAAGGTTAGATGTGTCAAAGTCAGAATGAACAATACTTGTTCTGTTTAAAAATAACCATAAAGCCGGCTGCTATAAAAAGGGTTTCTTTAAAGAGTAGATTTAATAATTATTCATTGTTAAATAATTATTCATTTCTCAATAAATGAATAAAAACTATAACATGTAATATTTATTATTATTTCTGAAATGTTTAACTGCATGGTAATTAGAAAACATCATTTCATGTGAAGTTTGAAGCAAAGTTTTTCATCAGTTCACTTTTAGAAATCAAACAGATTTTTAGTATGTAAAAGTGCTTTAGAAGTATCAAATGTTTTAAAATGGATTTTCCAGATTCACCCACTTATTAAAAGTAGAATACTTCATGCAATACCTGAAATTTGAAGAACTTTCTGAAATACATCTTCTCTCCTGTCTGCGTAGTGTAACTTACTGCACAAACTAAGCTGAAAGAAACAAACAATTTTTTAAAAAATAATTTTTAATTATTTTAAATTTTATGCCTATGTCAAAGCAGCAACAGAATAGCATTCATGTGCTCCAGTTTCATTTAAGCTCATTTAATTACAGAAAAATTTAAAACCTTACATGTGTGTTCCTATCTCCTTTACTTCATGATGGATCACATCATCAATGCAACAGTCAGGTTTAAGTTCTGCCACTGCAGAACTAGAAGCTGAAAGGTTCAAGCGCTGAGAACTTGTCTGAAGATCAGCCTGGGGACAGAAAAAACAAAACATTGATTAAAACTGCAGCTGCTTAAAGCAATCTGAACAAAAATAACTTATGTTATAAAGTACTAGGTTTCACTGAGCATTTTGTACCCTACATGCTTTTACACATATAATTAAGGTATGTTGAGATGATGAGATACTTGTCAAAGCTAAAGACAAGTTCTAAAATATATATAAATGGTACAATCCTTTAACACACAGCTTATAAAATCTCTATTTACTTTTTCCATTGAGTTCCACAATGACTTCTGGAATTTTTGTTCTCAATGTATTACTTGTTCAGCAGAAAATGCAAAAAAACCAATGCACTAGAAAAGAACTCATTTGAAATATAAGCAAAATACAAGTCAATGCATGCTTTACAGAGACTTGCTTTGATGACCTCATTGAAAGTGCAACTAGGCAAATATAAGTTCAATTTTTTAGCTCTGGAAGTTTTGCTACACCAATTCTCCAGAGAAGATTTATTACATAGCCATTTTTTTTGATACAACTGTAGTTTTTCATTTTAATCTTCAAAGATTTCTATCATAATTTCTATTTTTATGTCTTATTGTTTCCAATTTCCAGATATATTTTCTGGATTGGAAAGTGACAGGTATTTCCTAAAGTCTATATATTAGCATTAAACATACAAGATATTGTCAGAAAACATACTCAACATATTTTATTTTTTTTAGAAATCCAGTAAGTAGATCTTCACATACCTTCACCAGAATGTCCTTGACAACTTGATTACTATCATTGTGTACACTAATGTAACTGGAGAACGTCTCTCCCAAAAATATATTTCTGTGTTTAAAAAAAAAAAAAAAATGTTGAGTAACAGTTATTTAAAAAAATACAGAACATTTCACTGAAATCCCTTTAAGTTCTAATTAAAACACATATACACACACACACGTGTTTGCCAGATCAAATCCTAAAACTACGTTGGCATTTTCACACCCATACTTCTAAACGTAATCCTTCTAAGACAAACAACTTCAAAAGAGAACAAACAAATCAGAATTTTTTTCTAGATAAAAATCTGAGAAGAATAAGAAGATGGCTTACAGTACCCACAAAAATCACTGTAGTAAACTGTTAGTATAAGATGTGGTTTATAGTAGTGCATTATTGTAGAAATTCACCTACAGTTGCAAATTTCTGTCAGCTTTTAATCCTTATTACATTCAGAGTCAGGCTACAGAAAAGGAACATCAGGCAGCACACATTTATATATTATGTCACATTATAAATCAAGCCACAGATTATTTTTAAAACAATTTAACATCTCATTGCGTAACAACGATGTTGAAAAAGAAAGAAAAGTAACAAACACATTATCGTTAAATGAATCCCAAACCTTGTATGTTACAGTTACAACAATTCATTCTTACCCAAAATTTTGAGGCAAAGTCAGCATTTCTCCTAGCATCAAAGTTTCTGCTCCCTTTACAGTAGAAGGATCATCCTTCATGAGCTGGTTAAATAGATTACCTGTGGAAATATCAAATTGCTAGTATCTAAATATTTGCTAAGTCTGAAGTTTTGTCTTGATTTAAGTTATGACACTTAATCACTTATTTAGATGTAATTTATTTTAGATATACTTATTTTACAACCAACTTGTTTAGGGATAAAATACGTATCTATAGGCCTGCCTATAAATTATAACTTACTTCCAGGCACTCGTGTCCAATAAATCATTCGGTATACATACTGAAGGGCGCAATCCCAAAGGCATTGTTCAAATTAACATTAAACTTTAAGGGAAATTCTGCCCGAGTAAAGTACATTACGTAGCAGAACTAACAACCCCACTTACTTTCTTCCCCTGCTTGCTTTGTATTTCCACACAATCCTCTTTTCTTGAATCTTTCCTTTGCCTCTTTCTTATACATGACTTCTAGACTGCAACTATTACTGGGGGACAACCCAGGGATTTCCAATTTATGACTGTACACCAAGCATAACACAATTCAGAAGCAGTGATTCTTGCAAAATAATTTTCCATACAGCATTCATGTGTCGATTCTAATTACCAGGGCATTTTCTCCAGATAAGGAAGATAGTAACTCCGAACTTTCTACAGTTACACATTTGTCTCTCACAACTGCCTTCCATCTTGTGTGCTAATCGCTCTGACTTTGGGGTCTCATGTTTGCAGGATCATCACCAAGCTTTCAAAGCTGTAGGTCAAGAGTAGTGGAGTGCACCTTGGTATTTTCCTATAGCCATTACCAAACAGAATATATCGCTGTTTCAGATTACCGTCTATGGGAGGCCATAAGATTCCTCTGACATCTAAGTCGCAGATGCTCACATTGCTTAAACCTGGTAATATGTACACAATAATCAGTCAGTAGAAAAGACATACCTGGCAAATCTCTTTCTTCACAAGTCACTGGAATATTAGTGAATAAAGTAGGTTTGGTTAGCCTCATCACTGCAAAAATCAGAAAATAAACCATAGGTCAATGAAACAAGTATTTTTTACCTTTTTTTTTTTTTAAGTATAATTTTGTCTTGCTCTACTTCCACCAAAAAAAAAAATCCAACCACCAAATCTTAGCCTGAGAAAGGGTAACACCTTTTTGGATCACCTGGCCTTTTTCAATATAACAAATTCCCTGCTACTCTGAGATCCAAGAGCACTGGTGATGCCATTGCTCCATCTTGCTTTATTCCTCTGGTGCACTAACATCTACTGCTTTCAATCTTATGTGCTAATGATCTTATACCTGTTACAGTGTTAAGTGCTTTGTGGACTTCAGGAGAAATGTACCAGTTTCATTTTTTTGTGGACTCTTCTAGGCTAAGCACCTGTTCTGTGATCCTGGTTGCTCTAGAATGGGACATGATGAGTAGCATGGACCCTTTCAGTCAAACTCCAGGCTATAAGGAATTGCATTTACACCCTAATCTCCAAAACATATGCAAGATAGAGTTACAAGTCTAAAAGCCTACATTCTTTATACAACCGCTTTTTCTTTTAGTCACAAACTTTAAACTCAAACCAGCAAAACCACCACAAAAACCTCAGGAACACACTTACAAAACCCCCTATTTTATCAATACTGACAAAATCAAAATCATTGATATCTTGCTATTAAAAAAACCCTCTACTTCAAGAAAGTGGTATTTTTCAAAGGCTATTTTAACTCAGAATACTCAAAATTACATTATTTGTATTTGTATTACAGATCTAAGATGTTGCTTTTTAAAAAAAATCCTCCCTATTCATATAACCAATGGCCCTAATCTTGCATATAGCTTCTCATGAAAGCATTCACATGAAAAAGTTGAGCATTTGTAACCTTAGGTATTGATCTGAATACGTAAAAATCACTAATTTGTTGTTCTTCGAAACTTTAACAAACATAAAACCATATAATTTCTTAAAACTAAAACATAAAATAAAAGGATTTCTCTTGACTGCAACAAGTTAATCAACATCCTTGCACTGACACATGTATCGTGCTTTTATCTTTATTGTACTTTTGTACATCTTACATGTCCAGTCAGCATTCACTATTTCCAGTTGTGTAAAATACTCAAGTATTTCGATATACATTTGGGTGTAGTAGGCTGTACTGGTTCACAAGAATTTACACTACCATAAAGCAGACCTATGCAAGTTAGCATTGACACAAACACATCTCAGTTTTCACATTAAAAAAGGCAATACATTCTCTTTGTTATGGTGAAAAGTTGAAAAACATGACTTCTGAAGGCTAAGAACCACGAGGTAAATAAAAAGCCCCAAAATGTACAAAACAGAGTAAATGGAGAACCAGATTCCACATTGAAAATGAAAAAGATAAATACTGAACTATACATGCATATGAACTAAGCATTTCTGGAACAGTTCAGAATGAAATTCTGGATTTCAGCTTGTACATTGGTTCTACCCAGGACTGTAATAATTCTGTAGAGAATCCAAATGTGGTGTTCACTTTTTATTACATGATGGTTACCCAGCTGAGGTGCTCACAATTAGCAGTGCATGTATCATTATTCACATACAAGCCAACCCAAAGCAGCAGAAAGCTGACAGCTACCACTGAACAGCGACACTAATCTCTCCTTCTGTTTAGTAAGATGTTTGTTTAGCTCTTTTGTCGGTATGTTAAACAAATATAGTGGGACTGTATTACTGGCAGTTACCTAATTTTTTCAAGTCTACAGTGAGCCCATATAAACTAGTGCTTGCTGACTCTTTCTAAAGGAACAGTTACAGATCAAGTTTAGTCACGTTTAAGACAATAAATAAATAAATAGATCGCAGAATGAAGTCAAAACACAAATAAATTAAGATATTTAGATTATCATATTTAATAGGACTACTAAATTAATATTAGAAAATATTGTATCTTTGCAGGATGACCTCTCATCTCTTTTCTTCTAAGATCCTAGACACAAAATACAACATTAAATAAAACTCAAATCACGCTGCATTCTACTCCATTATATCTTTAAAAACACTGACTCACAAAGAAACTTTGTTACTCTTAGTATTAAGCTCAGAAAAAGAATTTCAGTGAAATAACTTGGCTATAAAAGCCTTAAAACTAATAGTGACCCTCAGTTACTCTAGGCAGCATTTTACATCAATTCTGCTAAGTGGTAATATTAAATGTCACAAACACCTCAAACATCAATATAAGACTCCCTTAACATTCAGTCAAGGTTTAGAAATACACGTCAGTGATCCAAACTGAGCAATATCCTTAATTTTAAACTACAAAAATATATGTAATGCCTATAATAAAATATAATTATTCCAACATAAGGGTGTCATCAAAAGAAAAATGTAAGTAAAAGCGCAAGGGGATTTTATTTAGTTTTTACACAGAGGCATGTCCATTATGCTTACGTGCACTTCTATTTGATCAGTGTTAATGATAATCTAACAATCTACAAATACCATTCACTTATTTTCCCCCTTTTCCAGACGCCACAGACCTTGACCTCCAGCTCCAGCAAAATTATCTGGAGTTAGTAAGGGTGCCCAAGAAAAATACAGACCCTTGCAGTCATATCGATCCCAGTTTAATGGCTCCACCAACCCTCCGAACGTTGAATTGAACAGGAACAGCATGACCTTGAAACACTTTATTCTTTCAGGTGATAAAAAGTCATGCTGAACTCAGCCTTTTATCACCACTAAACGCATTCAAATCCTCAAAGACCTTTACCTTCCATAATGACAGCAAAGAGAGGTTTACAGATATGTCTGATTTCTTAAGTTCCTGACACATAGCTGGAAGTTAGTGCTTTCTTGTTCCTCAATACAATTAGAGACAAAAGACCAGAAACATCAGGAAGAAAAAAAAAATCTTATTACCAAAGTCATAAAACAGCAAATGCTAAGTTGTTCATTATTTTTCAGCACACAACTTTCACTGAAACTTTCATTAGCATTTCTGGGAAAATAGGGGTAACCTTACTAAGGCAGCGTATACATGCAATAGAAAGTAAGTTTGTATTTCATGCAAGGGCTATGCCTTCATTAAAAAACCCACACACACTACTTCGAGGAAATAATCACATCTTGAAATAATAGTGTCAAAAATAATTACAGATCCTTATAGCGATTATAACAAGTCACTTAAAAATATTTTTCCTTCTCCTAATTTCAAAGAAGCACAGTGAGGATGTACTTTGCTTGACTGAAAGCATTAATTTTATTATATGACACAGCTTGCCATAATAGTGTGGAATTTATTTTAATTTTTTTCCTTTAGACTACCGAGGTAGATAAAAGCTACAAAATGCAGTACTAAGCCAAACAGAAACTTACTAATATTAATAGAACCATTCATAAGTCACCTGGCAAAACAAAGTTAAATAAATGTATTATTACAGTTAAAAAACTGTAGCAAAGTAATACTAAGTAGTTTTCTGCTTGTTAATTCGTGAGTTGTTCTAAAGTTTGTATATTCTAAGCTGCTAAAAAACTCCAGAACTTTAGACAGCATTTTTATTATGAAACTCTATCTTACAATTATAAACTAAATATAATTCCAAATTTATGTACAAGCAAATTCATTTTATCAGTAAGGCTTAGCTTTTCCCTAAGAATATTTCTAACATATTCACAGTATAATATATCACAGAAAATCCATATCTGTCCCACAGATCTTTGGATAGTAGCATTGCAAGATGGCAATTCATTCTGCTTGATAAGTCTATTCAATTTTATCCAGATGTCCTCCAAATTCTGATTATTACAAATGGACTCTTCAATTGTCCACCTCGCTCTATAAAATGCATGCAGTTTTAGTCTTTCCAAATTATTTTGCAGTTCTTGAGATAAAGGAAGAATCTTTTCTTTAAGCTTAGGGCTAGGGAGAGAGACACTCCAAGACCTTTTCAATTTTTGTTTTCCATTAGGTGGTGGTTCTCCTTGATTCTCCAAGTTAATTGGTCTGTGAATAGTTTGTGCTTGGGTTAAAGTCTGCCCATGTTTCACATTAGACTGAAACTCAAGGAGATTTTTTGTGCAGTCATAATCAGGAGATCCTGTAACATATTCTGAAGGTGTAGAAAGTTGTTTCAGTTCTTCTGCTTCCTCACAAGAAATAACAGGTGGCTGCTTTTTTGGTTTGAGGGGAAGTCTGTACAAATCATTTGGAAACCAGGGTGTAAATCTTGGTAACTGACGAATGGGAAACTCCTTCACTGCTGCTTCTGCAAATTTCTGCAGTTTTATTAGATCTCTCTGATGTGGTCGATAATGCAAGACCACTTCCATGCTTGTACAGTAGGAATCCAGTTATTCTTAAGGAAAGGAACAGTCTCTTGATTAGGATTCTCAAATCTAGACTGAAACATCTTATTTACAAGAATTTCCTTGCCCCGTGCTGCAAAGATCAGTGGATAACAGGACCTAAAGCAGAAGTATTATAAAAAAATAAGACACTACCATATTAAGAAAAGCATTGCTAGGATATTTTACAAAAAAGCAACATGTTGTAAAAATAAGCAAGATACATATCGGAACATTCTACTTAATCCAGGCTGAACATTAGCGACTGTATTCCATCATTACCAGCCTAACTTCAGTGTGCAGAACATTATCTGTATGCACACAGTTTACTCAACACTGTCCCTCCCAAGACTATTCTTTTACTGTCACTGTCTCATACTTGCCATGCGTCATTATTCTTGCTATGCTGTTGTGATGCATATTGAAAGACATACAATTACTACTGCCTATTTTCTCAAATTTACCAGACTTTTTTTTTTTTTTAAAAAGCGTTTTCCTCCTACACTTCAACATTTTAAGCCAGGACATATAAAGCAACTAGAAAACATGTGTGTTACAAAAACCCTTCCTGAAATAGTACTGACCCATATAGCAGTTTTTAAAGTCACAGGTTAAAAGGGAAGCGCTATAGGCAAATTGAAGTTGTCTGCTTCCATTTCATATCAGACCTACACATTTAATTTTAGTCTCAGAGCTTCCGAGCAATACATGCAGCCATCCTTTTAGTCCTTGACTTAAGGACCTGATAATTCCTTAATTTATTAGACTTCTAGAACAACTGAAAGACTCATTAAGTCCTTAAAGACTTTATACTTTCATACATCGTTGCCTTCTTTCATACAGAGATTATATTAAACCGGGGGAGGTGTAGTTGTAGCAACTACAAACGCTACTATGAAACATAACATAACATGCACTCTCTTGCTCTCCTGTTTTTCCCCCCTAGCAAGTTTGCAATCATTTCAGGTTCCCTGCCAGAGATCAGCAATATAAAATGATATTAAAATCAATAAAATCTAGGATTGCTTAATCATTACACTGTCAAGATTTTATTTTAAAAAGTCACAATGCAAAGAAACCCTGATACCTTTCTTGCTTCTTTTGCAAAATCTACAGCCTAGACACTGCACCAAATTCAATACAAGCCCAAGGATTATTTTGGTTTCTTACAAAAGCAAAATGATCCATCATAAAACTTTTTGCTTTGAATTAATTACTATCAAAATGCATTTGTAATGACAGTGATGATGTTTTGTGTTCTCAGGTTTTCAGCTTTATTTTGTTTGTGTGTGTGTACATATATGAAAAAGGGCTTGTTGATCTTTGAATGATGGTTAACAGATTTTACTGTGACACGTAGACACCATTAAAAACTCTCTCCAGAAGTGTTGTAAAACTAGTAAATGGGCAGAAGATGGGCTCTGAAATCATCTACACACCTGCACTACTTTAGCCACCTGAGCAGCCTCACTGACTCGGAACACTTGCAGAATTGAGATTTTATCCAACTATTTATTACTCCTACTTAACTAGCAGCATTTATTTTATAAACAAGCATGGTCAGAAAAAAAGAGAGTAAATATTATGTCTGTTGACCGAAACAAGGGTGAAAGTAGATTCAGGCTTTTCAGTGTTTCAATTGCTGACTTACTGGTACCCAACTGCCAGCAGAAATGATCAAATTCTTTACAGGGCTCTCTTGATTTCTGTACTAATTCTGCAAGGTATGCGAGAGACATACACATTTTTATTTTCACTATACGCGATTCCTGAATCAAGGATGTAAGCCCAGTAGCTGTGCATTAAACATGAGGTTAAAGAGACAACAACCATTAAAAGGGGAAAAAAATAAAAAAATAAAAACCAAAAGAGACAGCAGGGAACCGGAAAGGAAATTTTTCAAAAACGTTTTCTTGTAACTGCTGAAAGCCTTGTGCAACGTGCAAATGCATCGAACAGCCTCGACGGTCCCACCAAGCCAGGCGCACACCCCTCTGCGGGGCCCTCTGTCACTTACAATAGCTCGCCCCCCCCCCCCCCCCCCCCCTCCCCCCCCCGCACCCCCCCCCC